CGTGATTAAAGCTCGTTACATTAGACTAAATCCTGTGGAATGGAACCGGCACATATCTCTGAGAATGGAACTCTACACCTGCTAGCGTAAGTAGAGCTTAAAATCAACTTGCTGTTCACGGCTTACATGATACTTTGTCCCATACATTTCTTTTGGTTCGCGGGGAAGGGGGGGAAAGAGGAATAATGGAGAGTAGTACAGTGGGATAGTTTGCTCCTTTTTTGCAAAGGAATCTAATTATTGCGGAGAAATTCATCGATGACCTTGTCATGTAGCCTTTTGTCTTTCTCTTATGACTAAAAAGTGGAAAATTCTTATTAAGATAGTAAGTAAAAGCACTATTCCGTTGTTCGAACTTGAACATCGCCGTTATCAATTATTCCATTTCCGCCCCCAATTTTGGTAATGATATGGTTATTAAACTGGTCGGAAACCCGGAAGGTGGAGGGAGGAGAGGGAAGGGGGGGGGGGGGGGGAGGCGGGTACATAATTAATCAAATTCTCTCTCGCTAGTCGCACCTAAGGCATTTGATCTTTACTGTTGTCCCTTAATGTTGTTGTTGTAGTTTTTTTTTCGGGATACCAATTACATGTTGGTCACTCTCAGGGTTTGAGGCCTTTTATTTCTAGCTACTGGACAGTGCAAAATGCAGACTGCAGACCATTGTTTTCAGGATTAGAAGGCAATGGGACTATTCTTTTCTCGCCGTCATTTGCATGGTGAAAATAATGGTCTGCAGCAGTCTGTGGTCTGCATTTTGTACGGACTGTTCTAGCCACAAAAATTTCGGGATCAAATTTTGGCCCACAATGATTATCCCCTCTTCATGGTCACGGACGATGTGAAAGCATAGTCTTCTCCTGTTCCTTCCAGACAGGTATTTTATTGAATCTGCTCTCCGCTGTCCACATTTCAACTATGCTGCCTTTTTTCCGCCCAAAAGGAGTCGCAAATGAAACTTCGGAAAAGGTGAAGCAAGCAACGGTTGAATGCCCTCTGATTCAACCTTTCCTCGGTTCCAGTAGTTTCAAGTCGACTTTCATTGCCGCTCTGAACACATGACCAATTTCAACACTGAAGAACACCTACCAACTCCGCGTTATGGCCCGTACCTTACGCATGCGCACAACCATATCACCATAGCAGTGGCAGCCCTTATTGGGGCTAATCAGCATGGCATAGCCATCGGGCATATGAACGTACAAAGCCGTGTAGGAGTTACGCGTGCATCAGGGCTAAAATGGGTATTGTCAGAAACATGCTCGGAAGAATATATGACGAAGAAAGCAGTAAAAATGAGGGACTTAACCCACGTTTCCTATTCTCTCCTTAGTTCTCTCTTAGTTGCAGGTTTGTTTTAATATCAGAATTCAAAGCCAGAAAATTCTGCCTGAATTAATATATTGAGAAAGAATAAGTGGGCCTTGCATACCGACAGAAACCTTTGAATTTCCTGCCACCTCGCCCAGGCCCCAGTTGTTCAAACGTTGGAAGGCAGTATCCACCGGATAAATCACTATCCAGCGGATAAGTGTTAAGCAATCTAACTGCATTACGCAGTGGATAGTGCTAACAACCTTTTGAACAACTAGGGCCTGATAAGGAAGAGTAAGTAGGCTATGAATTCCAATAGAAAAGTTTGGATTTTCTGCATTACCCATGATGCAACTAAGAGCGTGAACTCGTCTATTTTTAGCCTTGAACATCAGTTAGTTCCAGTTCATTAACCCGAATATGGATATGTCCCTTCCCCTCGTGATCTATATTTCAACGAGGCAGGTGGCGGACGCGTTGGGTGTGTTTCCCCCACGTCACTCTAAACCTACCACGGTAAATAATAAGACAATAGTTTGTATTCACTTTTATTTGTGTACATTAGCTCTTTACTTGCACTTAATTGTTGCGTCCTTGTATGTACAACACCTTAAACACAACTACAAAAAGTTTAAATTTTTTCTCTAGCTTACACAATGCTGAGGTCAAAACTATTGGAGCAAGTAGTGCTTTTTTTGTGAGTACTTCAGTTCTAATGACAAACATTTCAATCCTAAAAATCTGGGCACCACATTAGGGTATCAGTCAAAATCTGGAAGATAATGTAATAGACAAATTTCAATACATTACAATCCAATCCAAGCTGCAAGGCTTTAAGGAGTAAAACAAAAGAAATGTACCATTTTTCCAGTATTCATCGCTGAACATGGGAAATTTAGGGGTAAAGTCAAGAGGGTTTTATTTGTTTGGTCACATTGAAGGACTAACAAGGAACAACTAATCTCCAGGCCCCGGTAGAAAGTGCTATCCTCCTTTTGTGCAACTGGGTGCTGGTCTCTATTATTACATCTAAGATATACAAGGGAAGATTCGTTTTAGCCTCAGCATTGAATGTTGTGCGTGAAAATGTGCTGTCTTGATACAATGGATCAGAAAATAAAATAAATTTACTCTTCTACGTCTTATCTGCAAATGAAGTCATCTCGTCTTTCACAAGCACTAGGATTGCACAAGGATCCAAAAGCCATTTCCGAGTTCCAAAACGAGGTTAAGCGCAAAACCTTTCTTGTGAAGATGAGATATATTTGCATAAGAACAAAAAATCATTTTCATGTCAATGGCTTGACACTTAGCCTCACTTTGAAACAGAGGCTCAGAGCAACTCTAAAATGGCCTATAGATTACCCATCTGACCACTCGAGAAAAAAAAATAATGATCGGCTTATGTAATTAGAATTTTTAAAAACTATTATTAAAATATATTATTAATATCTACATTTTCGTATTTAAAAATGGTGCTATTCAATTGTGATAGGAACCCTGTCACAAGCAAAGCCACTTTGGTAATGATTATTAGGGTAGACTACAATATAAAGATAACTTAGAGTGATTTTACTTAACCTGTGAAATAGGTAGTAGAATACTAGGCACTACTATTCTATTGTCTTCTGTTGTTTCTTTGCAGCTATTTTGCATTAGCTGTTATTATCTGTTTCACGGTTCAATTAAAATCACTCTAACAGTACTGAACTGCAATATAACAAACTTGTCCAATTTATTTGAACAACAACAAATTCCTGTAGATGTTTAAAAAAAAATGCATCCTTTGTTGAATAATTAAATAAACAGGAAAGCACAGCCAGAAAGCATTCAAAAAGAGTACTGTTACATCTTTGAATCTTGTCTAAGCTTACTGCGCTTTCCAAAAACACACAAATTCTGAAGTCCAAAAGGCAACTGACGTATGAGTTTTTCACAGCCATCAATCATCTTAGCAGACCTCTTAGGAAACAAAAGTTTACTCCAACAGGTTCAAAAGGTCACGGTTTGTGATTTGTGATTGCTGGATTTTGATCTGTTTTGTGTATTTCTGTGTTTCAGGTTTCATTACTTGTGATTGTAATAAAAAAAATTATGACTGACAGCAGTGAAAAACACAATTGTGAAGGAGGCTTTGGAACTTCAGAGTTCATGTGTTTTTGAAAAGCGCAGTAAAGGATAGCAAAACATTACGAGACGATTCCACATTCTCATGCCATAAAAACTTCACCCAGTGTGAAGAGTGGAGCCTCCTTGTGACTTTAGGGACTTTAAGCAAATTGCTATGGCCTCTAATACGGCAGAGGTGGACGAGGAGTTCTGGGGAGAGTATGTCACCGCAGCCCACCAAATTTCAACTTTAAGCAAGAGGCGCCCAAACAGTGACAAAGGGGTTTCTCACTCATTTGCTTTCACAGCTATTAAAATGCAGGGAAGATGTAACATTACTGGAAAACCAGAAACGTCAAATATTTTCTTCATAAAGTGAAAAACAATCTATGATAGGTTTTTAAAAAATAGAGATTGTAAAAAAGAGGGTTTTATATTCACGTAGTAGTGACTACACCACAAGACAGGTCTTCGCCTTGTAGGATTTTGCGCTACCACGAAAGGTTATTTCCAAGCATGCGCACTGCGGTATTTTGGGGCTTTTTTACTTCCGGCCGCAGTAGTAGTAGAAGGTCACCAAAGCGATTCGCTTTAAGTCCCTTTTTTCATTACTAAGGAGGAGTACACCAAATTCGTCAAAGCAAAAAGAAAGGCTAGCCTGACAGGGTGTAAAAACAATGTCTTTTCCAGCTGGAAATCTTATTTAATATAACTTTCTGTAGAAAAAAAAAATTCTCACACCTTAATACGTTACTGTAATCCATATAACAAGGTGTCACATGACACCAACAAAAAATATTTTTTCCTGATCCCTCATGTAATCAGGGAAATTTAACAGCATAAGGTAATAATTAATTTCATGACTATTCAAATTAATTTCATGACTATTCAAATTTGCAGTACAGTATACATGTAACAAAAAGTTCCAAGTCAACTTTGCAGGGGAGATGGTAGAAGCTGAAAGGAGTTGAACTGACTTATAACATCACCTTTATAATAATTTTTTATTATTCAATAGACCTAACCCACATTGCGATCCAGTTAGCAAACACAAGGAATTGGTGTCTAGCCTTGAAGGGACAATTTCATACAAATCACTGTATTTTGTCACCGAAGCATTGAGTTGGTGCCTTTGTTTACCGGTATGCAGAAAAGGTTTCAACAGCTATGGTAGTATGACATAATGGTCAATTAGGTTTCTACATGAGCCTATTTGTAAACAATTCAGTTCTAAAGGCTTTTGTGGAAATCAAGAAATATTTTTAAAAATAATATACAATGGCAACAAAGAAAAATTATCATGTAGTATGTGATGATGGGTCTTGTCCATCTTACAGTAATTGGGGCAGAAACTATTGTTTGTATAATTAAAGGTGTTAATTATATCCTGGTTCCACTATATTTGCATGAGATTAGAAAAGGTTCCAGAGTACTTGATAACTATAAACTGTAGGAGCCCAAAGCTTGAAATGAAGGAGTCCATCCTGATCTCAAGCCATACATCAATGTCAGGTCCTTACTAGATGATACTCAGGGCGCTCCACTCAGTCACGGTGACATTGCTTTACATGTACCTTAATAGCCTAGTGAACTTGTAACACAGTTTTAAATACATCCACCCGTCTAAATTTGAATCCTACTTGTGCTCAAAGCGTCTACATTAGTCTTGATAAGTGCCTGCAAAAGAGAACTGATTTAGCTTCTGAAATCTTAAAAGAATGATGAGCGCTAAAGAAATATCTTTATCTTTACGGTTAACATTTAAAAGTTATTTGTCATCACCTACTGCTTAGCTAATTATGACCATCCATTGCAATGATTAGCCTGTGCTATGGACAGATTAAAGATTATACATGGGCAAAAACAGAGCGTTGATAGCAGCAAACGAGAGACTGTTCTACACAGGTATACATCGGGCAAAAAATGAGCTGTACTTGTAGGCATCAACCAAAATGAGTAAAAGGTGGTATGTCATGCTATGGGACTTCCTGTTACAGAGCATAGAACCCATTCAAGCTATTTTTAATCATCATGGAGAAATGGGCTTTACACTGGCCATCCAACCAACACCTTAAAGTTTACAAAATAAGCCACTCAGGGGGATAAAAATTTGTTTGAAAGGGTATTCTTCTTATTCTTGAGGAGCATATGCTTAAAAATAAATTTAAAGAACAGTCTTGTTAACGATGTTTTAGCCAGCGTTATAACTGGGTGTCCAAAAGTGATACAGGGGCTACAGGCCCCACCCACTTGGGGGGTTCTAGGGGAATACACTTGCTGAAAACTTAAAGACAGACACTAAGTACAAGTCCTACTATCTCTCTCTTAACTCTTCAAGACCTGATATCTACTTAAAAATAAATCTCTCGACTGATCTCTATACATTTCCTTAAAGAACTAGTTGAGAGAATTTGCTTTAAGATCAAAGCATTTCCAATTATCAATGTGGGTGCACTTGGATGTAAATTATTAAGAAACCCCTGTATGTATCCAGTGAACTTGACGTGGTCCTAGCACAACACAATATGTACCTTAAAGCTCATTTTTACCTATTTCTAGTTTGCAGGATGTTCTGGACATGATCTGTTTATTTGGAACCAATTATCAATACAGCTGAAAAAACAAAACAATACGAAACACAATTATTATATTTACAAAAATTCTGATTTTTTTTATTTTAAATCCCACTGACCTTTTAATGAAAAAATAAAATGGCACTATACCTCTTGTGGTATATACACAAACATGGTAATCTTGCTATTTTGTCGCCTGTCAAAAAATAAAGCTTGTTTTAAGTTGATCACTACCATCTAAGAATCTGTTATCAAAATGACACAAGATAATAAATGCTTGGTATTATCCCACATAAACTTCAATTCCTGACAAAATCACCCTCTCTCACCCAAGAACTGGTCATTTGGCTTGGCCTGTTCAACTCCATGCACTGACATTTAAAACTGGTTTGTGGAATTATTACTAACGACATACATAAAACATGCAAATTCCTCAAGACTACAAGTAAGTTAAATGACTCTAAATATGCATAAAATAATTTTAAGTTTTTAGAGTGGTCTGCAATTTTCACAATCACCCATCTATACCTTCTTGAAGATTTATATACAATTACCTTTTATTATATAAACACCAATGAAATACCAAGTCAGCTTTCTCGCGAAAACTTGATATCTTCACACGTGAAAATAACGTTATCTTCACATGTGAAAACATCATCGTTGCTATGGCTTCATAATAAACCATACCTCTAAGACCAAAAAACTATTTAAATAAAATAGTTCAGCATTTCATTGGTGTTTACATAATAAATAGAACATTACATGGTCGCTTGGAGATACAAAATTTCTCTTCTCATGTTGAAAAAAATATTTCACTCGTTTGCTGCGCTCAGTCAAGAAATATTTTTCAACACTCGAAGAGAAATTTTGTATCCCCACGCCGCAATGTAATATCCTCGACTTACTTTTGAACCACTCATACTACATTTTCCCTGTACATAACTTAAAATCTTGAGCTTAATTTAAACAGACGATAATTTGCCTTATTTAATTCTTGCCCAAACTTTTAAGTTGTTCAAAACCCACCAACAAAAACTTGCTTTATTACAGTGTACAGTTACTTTATTATTATTTATAATTATTGTTTGCTCCAAGCCTCTGCGATAAGACTGCAAGAGCAAGTGGGCAGCTGCAAATCCTTTGTGCCGTGAAATAGTATAAAACATCCTAACTTGGTGATTTTATGACATAAGAGTTGCTGCAATTTTCACAATAATCTGCTGCTGAGTTTGAGAAATTATTTTAAAGAAATTACCCATTGCTTTGTGGTCATGTCATGTATGCTTTCGACAATAAGTATAGGTAATAGCATGATTTGTAGTGATATTTGGCACAAATACTACCAGTGAAATTTAAGACAATTTTGAAATATCACAAGTGGTATTTATGCCAAATATCACATACAAATCATGCTATTATTTATTTATACTACTAGATGCAAAAGGTTCGTAATTTTCACATGTAGGTATTTCAAATTAAGCTGAAATACCACTATTCTAACCCAATCAAATTGCAGAAAATTCTCATGTAGTAGTATAACAACTAAAATAACCATAATTATTATTCAAGATGACTGCTATTTCCATGTACATGTACCTATATTCAAGTCTTCCAGACATATAACACATTCTCCATTCTCCTGTTCCAGTACATCCTCTGAAAAGAAACATGGGATATGGTTCACTTCACTTCTTTAGTAAATTTAGGGAGGGGGAAGGATTTGCAAAGTTGGTTAGTGGGCAGCCTTCTGTGCGAGAGCTTCAGAGTTTGATTCCCACGTGCGACCTCAAACCCTTCTTTCGACTTCTTTACTTCCTGTGTAAAATGGAGCACTGATGGAGAGAGGGGGTAAAATAGGCACACCATCAGCTACCAATAAAAAATATAAAGAACTCTTAAAGAGGCAGCGTGGCCGAGTGGTCAGCATGCCAGACTTGCAATCCAGCAGTCCCAGGTTCAAGTCCCATTCTGGTGACTTGCAAGATTTGTTCTCGGTCGTCCCGAGTTCAAATCTTCAACCATGCTTGTAAATAGCCTACTGGTTGCCAGTTGGGGTTTTTAATCCTGTTATGTTGTATTTGAATTATTTGTGTCTAAGTATTTGAGTGGAGTGCCTGTAAACTAGCTGGAGAAGCTAGCTAAGAGCACAAGTTTTCCACTATAAACAAGCCTTTAAACCTTTAAACCTTTGCGTTTACATTGTATTGGAAATGAAATACATGTAGTTTGAAGGACTGCACACCAACAACAGAATTCCTACTACACTATACTTTAAGGTCATAGGTTTTAGCTCCTGTTGTGAGAACTCAGATTTGTTCGTCTGAGCCATCTAGATCACTGACTGAAAAAACATCTTTGTCATGTATTCACTACGCCTAAAATTCCAACCCCCTACCTCTGCACCAAATGTGCTCTATATTTCATTTATATAAATTTCATTATGTAAAAAAGCAAACTCTCTCAACAGCCAATGAGGCCCATCTCACCTATAACACTACAAACAACGCCCTACAGTCACTTACATGTATTCACGCTAAAAACCATGCTCCTTAATTCCTGTCTGAGGGATTTACTTTGGAGTTCAATTTTGTGTCCATATTTAGAAAAGGGTTGGATTTTAAGTGTGCCAAATTACATGGTACAAGACTAGTAATCAACACATTGTTAGAGCAACAGCTGCACAATCAGTCTATTTTGCTTTATTTCTTTGACAGCAAGACACAACATCACTGATATACAAATCTCTTTGGTTCTTCCTATCAGCATTTAGCGAAAATTAATCAGATTACTGTAATATTTTGGCTTTTTCTCAGGAAATCTCTGGTCTATTATTTTGTATGCCATTAACGGTTTTCAGATTTTTTTTTTCTTTCATCAACACTGGCATTTTACTTTTGCCGACATGCGGACTTTCCATTTTCAATTTCAGTTCTAGTTTTCTGTGGGTCTGTAAGTATGAGCACAAATTTAAACATAGATCTATGCTCAGATGACCTGAGTTCAGGATGAATACTGATAGTAACCTTTATTTCCTAAAAAGCTTCAATTTCAAAGTTTAAACACGTCACTTCAATGTTTGAACTTTTTTTGAGGAGTTGGACTTTTTAATTTGTCTATTGTTTGGACCATTAACAACTGTGGTCCTTCAGTTTACAACTATTATTATTTTGCTTTTTTGAATGAATAATATTTCCTGCAGGTAGTTTCTGTTTTCATTACCCCCTAAAAATTGTTCAGCTCCTATATTATTAGTAAGAGTTTAGAGTCAAATTTCTCATAATAATACTGTAAATCCTCTATTACACACCCAGGGGCCTTATTTATTTAATGCACATTTGAGGTGGGGGGCTTATAATAGAGAAAAGGGCTTATTTAATTTAGCACAGATGATAGTATTGATTCTCTGAAAAAACTAGAATGCACAGTGGAAAAGTTGGAGGTCATGCAGCTGAAGCTTAAAACAAATCAGAACTTCCAGCAATGTCAATAAATCATACAGGGAAAATAGGTCTTTTTACAGATGGCCTATGTCATACATTTCAGGAGGGCACAGAATGTAAAAAAATAAAATTGCTAAAATATAGGACTAAAATGACAAAAACCTGATATTCAAAACCAAACGAACAAAGAAAATTTCACACTTAAGAAAACTGGAATTAAAAAAACCCTGGAACCTTCTGTTGAGATTTAAAATTTTTTATAAGTCATGATATTCCAAAAGTGTTATAAGGTAGACATCTCATCTCTGCTGTGAGGGAATTCCAGTCTGTCAAGGCACTATTAAATCCCCAGTTAGTGTTTAATCTAATAGTTCAAAAATCCTTGGAGTTGGTGTTATGGTTGTGATAGTCTAAACCTTGGGTAATCATACTCTTTCTTTCACTGTCATTAATAAAATTATGCATAAAAAGACAGTATTGCATTTGCCTTCTGGTTGATAGATTAATCATCCAGTTCAGGTCTAAAAGTGCTTCAGTTGGCCTTGCTTTTTAGTGGACAGTAAAATACCATTCTAAAAAATTCGAAATTTCTTTTTGTAAAAATCCAAAGATATTAACACCGCCAGGAAAAAAGTTTGACCAAAGAAGTTGAATGCTAAAATCACAGAATTTTGTCCACAGATCTAAATAAGTTTTAGTGACAAACCATCTGGCCATAACTTGGTCTAAGAGTGAAAAAGTTAATAATATCCTAACTTGCAATCAGGCATTTTTTATTTATATTTTTGTTGTTGTTTTTAGAAGACAGGGAAAAGGCATGAGCCGCAAAAATAAACACCTGGTCAACCTGTCATCATGGCGCAAAAAAACTTCTGCTCCAGATATTTTTGCACTCAGGAAAATCAAAACACAACTATGCTCAATAATTGTTTCTTGGAAAAACTAGCACAAGCTTAATCCTGTGATGGAGTAATAACAGCTAGAGTTTCCATTCAATATTAAAATCAGCCAGAAAAACAAGAAAACAACATTTCAGCCACAGAGTATGTTAACTAGAGGAATTGGTTAAGTTGCGTTCAAACACCACGCAGTCCAGTGGGACCTGAAATCTAATTTTCAAAGGATGTTACAAAAACGGGGAAGAGCGAAACAGCATGGGGGACGAGAAAATAGAAAATAGGAACAAAGCAGAGAATTGGAAAGGCAGTTACTGATAGGGCCAGTGTTCAAGTAAGGTTTTGTTCCCATTTTTCATTTTCTTGTTCCAGGATGTGCTCGTTCCCTGCTCCCCGTTCCGCGTTTTAGTAACATCTATCTTCAGCCAATCAGAACAGACCTTTGTTAGACATATTGTGTCTAGACCAATCGGAACTGACTTTTTTACATGTGATCTGGTGAATAAAATAATGTATCATGCCCTCCTTTCCACAAAAGACATAACAGAGATCTAGGGGTGGTTGGGGAAGATGGGGGGGGGGCGCAGATCGCAGGCTAATAATATACAAGCAATCAGAAGACCACCATGTGGGTTACACTGAATTTTCATGAAATTTTTAAAAGTCCTTTTTCTTAGTGCTTTGTCTCTTGCAATTTGGCGGTCACACAGTTAACTATTTATCCCTGCCGTGAATAGTTTTTCCAATATTTCTACCATTTCTTTTTCACTATTTTATAAAATGAAACTGGAGATTTTCCATAAATTTTCGGTTTGTTCAAAAAGTGAACACAGCTGTTTATCACTTTGAAAGCTTCATGACAACACGAAACCGCAACAAGAAGTGACCAGAAAATTGACCCTAATAAATCTATCTCATCAAGGGCGTTAAGTGTTGTAAGGAAAATATTGCACGTTTTATTAACCAGCTACGTTTTTGGTTTACAAGCTAAAGTGCAGGTTTTTTCTTTAGTCAAGAAGTAGTGTGGAGAGTCCAATTACTTGCCTTTGCTTGCTTGCCTTTGTTTAAAACCTTAAAAATCCGTAAACTCATTGAAATACATGTAGGATAGAATGGTGATTTTGATCTTCAAAAATAAGCTCTCTTTCTTCTCTATCATAAAAACAACGCTCAAATTGCTTTAAAAAGCCCTCTTTCGTCGAGAACAAATTTGTTTCATATATTACAATCATTTTCGTACATCATTCTGTCATCGCAGGCAGTCACTTCAAAGTTCAGGTCGCAATGAATCCAATATAGATCGTACCGAAATTGAAAGTTTCAATTATTTTCTAATAAGAAAACCGAGAGATGTATGTATGCTTGCATGATATTCTAACAGGGCAAAATAGTCTCCAAACCAACGAGAAAATTAAAATAATTAACGCCGACCCACTGATAATTTCCATTACGCACGAAAATTTGTTGCTATGTAGTTTAACCCCTGATTTTAATTATTTTTCTAGAGCACGACAACAAGTTAAGTTGTAAGCAGGCTGGGATCGTTCGAAAATTCGTAAACTCGATAATTAAGAAGTTAAAAGAGATTAACAAACCCTACCGTTATAAGAAATTCGGGGTTTGGTGAGGCAGATGACCAAATGGAGTTCAATATCATCAGGCAAAACTATTTTTGAACAGACGGGGCATTTCACTCCTGCAAAATAACATGAAAAAAAGTAAGCTTTATAGCATCAAGAAAAAGAATCAAAAGATCACAATAAAAGGTACAACAACGCTTCAAGAACGAGAGCCTGATCGTCTGTCACACACAAAGGCTGATCGCAACGAGGGAGTTAAAGATAATCGATCTTATCTTACCGTTTAAAAACGACGTGTAGGTCGCGAATAAATGTGAAGGTAACGAATGAGCCCCTTGTAATAAAATTCCTCGCGGCGAAGGGGAACTATCTTCAGGCGACGAAGACAAATCAGACTCCTGAAACGAAGATGGGTGACCCGGTATAGCTAAAGATGGTCCCACATTGTTTAATGAACGAGTCCTAATTCTCGGATCGAGCGCTACAACTCTTGAACCCTCAGGAAGACCGGCAGCAGCCATCGCGCCACCATTAGCGACATTTCTTGAGTTCCCTCGACCATTATTGCTCGATTGCTTGGCTCCCATAATATTTTTCGCGTCTTGATTCACTGGAGAGCTTCAGCTGCTCCTGCAGCACCAGGATAAGCGATTCACATGATATAAAAAGCGAAAAAATGGAAATAGTGCTCACTTCATAGTCTGCTGGTCTCTCACAGTGTTTTTGTTTGGCAACTGCTTAGGAGCTTACATCGCACTGCCTGATGGGATTGTCTGTTCGTCACTCTCACACCACACGAGTTGCAACCAATCACACGGTTATCATGCTCGCTAATTTTCTCCTTTCGCTTTCCATCTCCATCTGTGACATGTGTGATAAAACAATTTTTCCTCATTTTTTGTCTATCAAAAGATCTAGGGAATAATGCTAACGAATGGTTCGGTGAGAGGTGTTCCTCTAAAGGTCACACAACAGGCGAGCGAAATGTCATCAAAACAGAGCAGAACTGACAACTTCCTGGCTCTCCTTGCTCGCTTTCACGGGACTTTGGACTGTGAGCTTCCCGTTTCCCTGATCGAAGTCCTCCCAGGTCTTCTCGGTCTTGCTTTGGAAGGTATTGGTATAGAAGAATGTTTTTTCCTCTCTACGATTTTTTTCTGAGGACATGCGTGTGATTTTTTCTATTTTTAAAATGTTGCAAGATAGTTTGTTCTTTTGTAGAGGCAGTGGTAATAATATGATAAGTGTACTAATGATAGTAATAATAATGATAATGATAATGATAAGAAAGAAAGAAAGTGCTTCCTACTAAAAAGAAAGGACTTCCCAACCCAGAATAGAACCTGCCCGGGCCGGAACTCCGCACTGATATGAAAGGGGTGGGGATGCTCGTCGGAAACTTTGAATTAAACCCCTAAAAGAGACCGATCTGGGCGTAGCCCGAGCTTCTTTTGACGCCTAGAAGATACCATGTTAAAACACAGACAATACATACATATTTTTATATTTTTTTCACGTGCAACCCTAAACGAGACCGTCACGTCTAAATATGATGGCGTTTTGCCCAGAACACCCTAAGTGAGACCAAACTCCAAAATTTACACCCTTAAGCGAGACGAGGAACGTCCCTACCCCTTTCATTTGCGGAGTCCCCCCCCCCCTCGGGAGAACCTTCTCCGTGGGGAGGAGCGTTGTGTGACGATACTAAAAACGGCTGTGTCTGACTATAAAAGTTTATTGTGTTAAAGTTCATGCTTACTGTAGTCCATACTGGTAATAATCCAATCATAAATAATATACCGTAAAGTTCCGAATGCAACGACCCTCGTTACTCAGTTCGGATTCCTATCGCTACTTTCGGAGGGTCGCTACTTTCAGGGGGTCACTACGCTCGGATAGCTAAAACATGTATCGTACATGGGCCGTACGAGCCATAAAAATTTCGCGACAATTGTGAAAACATCCACACTCATTATTTGAAGAAACTTATCTCATGATATTGCTTTTTAAATAAATATTCAAAAGAATTGTTTGATTACAGTGTGGGTATTCACAGACGAAAAGAAGACTTTAAAAAAAAAGATGTAATGTACCTTTTGAGTTACATAAAGGAATATCTGCAAAGATCATTATAACTGTTAAAAAATAAATCTCAGATCAGTTTGGTAAAGCTTGTTGTAACTATAATTTCCGTTATTGTTTCTAGCAAAAAGGGAAATCACTTTTTGAAGTCGCTACTTTTGGCATTTGCTAACATCTGTGAAATTTTATCGCTACTTTCGGAGCTTAAAGTTTTTCCGACAAACTGCGGTTTGCGGATAACGGTTTCACGTTACCCGTCTGCCCATATTTGGGACTTAAGATTAGCGGGTTGGTCAGTAGTTCATGTATGACCCCATGAAATGTCCTGAGACACCAGTGCCATGTCGGGCCTCTAGGCACAGAAATAGTAGTAAGTTGTAGTAAGTGTAGTATCTGTAGTAAGCGTAGTAAGTGTAGTAGCTGTAGTAAGTGTAGTATCTGTAGTAAGTGTAGTAAGAGGCAGCCATGTTTGTTTTCATTCATCCACTTACTTCTATTTTAGCTGAGAAGTTGTCTTCAAAATTACCTTTTTTGAAATAAAATTCAATAATCAATAAGCAAAAGAGTTCTATAATTAAGTCGTATTTCTTCTCAAACGAGGGATTGTGATGTTTTAGGGTGCAAAAAACCTCGCAGTAAATCACTTACCTCTGGATACCTTGGAAAAAAACGGAAAATCTCGGTTGTAACGCGTCATCAGTATGGAATTTCTGCTCTCATTTCTCAGACGTCATTTGGTGGGGAAACCAGTGGTAGCGTCGCCAAATTAAATGTCGGCTGTTTTCTCAGGCTACTCTGGAGCGTGGTCTAGCCATGAACCTCAAACTGCAAACCTGACGGCAAGGCCCTGGCCACGTAACGTTCGCGGTTCGCGGGAAAGGCCGACTGGAAAACCTTAAGCCCTCTAATGTATGGACTGTTCGCGGGGACAAAATAGGGCGGCCGTTGAGAAGAGGCGACCGCTAGTGGACCTGTCTGCCCCGCCCAAATTGTGAAGGAAAAATGGAATGCTAATGCAACTTTTGGGGGCTAGAGAGGAGTAAAAAAAAGTGTACATGTATTGTTGGCAAATGATGTGAAAATGAAAAATTGTAATTTAAAGCATAATTAAAGGCTTAATACCAATGACGGCATCGAAAGGGAAATAGGCGCAAATGAGTAGGCTAGACGACTTTACCTCAGGGATATCGTGCTGCAAGCGAAATACGCGGGCGCGCGTAAGAATCGCCATGCGCATTTTCTTTCCTTCCCGCGATCTCTTTCGCAACGCTTCTAACGCGTGTTCGTGTATTTCGTTACCGCTCAACTATCTTCGAACAAGAGCTACTTGAGTCTAGTAAATAATCATGAGGTAGACTGCGGTAGTCCCATTTCCTCAGGGATGATAGAGCAGGCGGAACGCGAGCGCGTGAAAATCACCACGCGAGAAAAGGCGACACGCGGTGAGAGAAAAAAAGATGATCAAATCGTTTACTCTCTCCCGCCGCGTGTCGCCTTCCCTCGCATGTGATTTTCACGCGCTCGTTCCCTCACTCATCTCTGAAAATGAGGAACCTCGTAGTCTGCATGAAACAATGCTAATAATTAATGAATAGCTGTGAACAATACAACTGTCACCTTCCCTTTTCAATTCACGGTCTATCGATCTCTTCTCATTAGCCTTTATTTTGCTTCTTTCATCCGTGACTGACTTTGTTTACCATAGATTCCGGCCTGCGACTCCTCCCGATCGCTGGTGGGGTCTTCTAAGAACACATCTGGGATATCTTGCCCATTCCTCTTATTAATGTCGTTTCCCGTTGATTGTTTTACCAAAATGGCGATTGGAGGAAATAATCACAAACAAAACCATCGGTCGTGTGTTCGGGAAGCCACCAATACCAAGAAGGATGGATCGATGTTGAAACCGATCGGATTCGACGAGAACTTGAACAGGTCAGTGCGTCGTTATTCAGACAGCTGACATATAAATCATTTGTTAGTACTCAAAAATATCTAACGGCCCCAAACTCACGCCGTATAAAAGCCAAGAGCGCAATAGGTGACGGAACGTCATGAGCGAACCATATCGCATCCTGCAAACGTTGAAAATACGAGAAGCCGGTAAGTTTGCGAAAAGAGAGAGATATATAAGGATAAAATTTCAAATTTTGCTCAACAAAATGATTGAAAGACTTAACTTTGTGCATTTTAGAGTGTTTTGATGTGCATTCTTTTTCTAGCCTTTTTTTGCATGACAGTGACTGTTTTTCTCGCCCTGGGGGAAAAAAGTTGTATGCAAAAAGCCTTAATTAAAGGATAATTTAATACAACAAGTCACAAAGGATACACAAAGATGGGTTTTCCTAATGCTTGAATAAGCTGAAATGTTTAGAAAGAGCAACTGCTGCATGGCAGACTAATAAACAAACTAATTCAGTCCCAACATTGGTTTTTGAGACAAGTAAACCTTTTAATGAAGTTATAAAACTTGTTTGGAGACCTCAAGCGTTTTGGACAACGACCAATATCTCTGAGACAGGTAGGATTGTTTCTTCAAGCTTAAAAGATCTCTGTTTTCTCCCGCATTTATATTTTTAGCATTTTTCATTAATAGCTAGCATTAGAATTATTAAAATATTGCAGACGCTATAATGATACGCACCGCCGAGAATGAACTTGGGTATCAAAAAAATTTATTGTGTCACAGGCTATATTTTATTATGCAAAAGATTATAAAATTTTGTTTCCTCCTCGTTCAGGAACCTGATGATACATGAGCAACAACTTATCGACGAAATGACAAACCTTATTCTTTTTCATTCGCTCAAATCGAATTATCATCCCTAGTGGTACCGACCACTCTTAAGCCCCATTTATATGTGAAAAGTTGTCTCGGCAAAGATGTGAGGTGGGGAGGATCCCATATAAAAAGGAGCAGGGATACTTGTCGTCTCGCTTGGGTGTAAATTTCTGATTTGGTCTCACTTAGGGTGTTCTGCAAAAACGCCATTATATTTAACAAAAGGTGTCTTTAGGGTTTTACAAAGAAATGCAAAAAAATTATATATTGCAATTCGTTTTGTTACGCGATTCATGTAATCAAAATTTAAATGGTCTCTATTTGGAAAAAAACGGTTGGGCCAAGCAAAGATTGGTCTCCTCGAGGTTTAATTCAAAATTTCTCGAACATCTGCCCCTTTCATATGTCTCCCCGGGATCACCTATTTTGCAGCAGAGGTTCGTATGAGAAAATTAAGTTTATGCCTTTGTCCGAGCCAACATAGCACTAGCATGCTCGATCTGATTATCGCGTCTTGTTCGATTAGACCGGCAGGCAATATATATAAAACGTTGTCCCAACTAGTAGGGTGGCCCCATCAATCGGAAAAAAGGTCTCATGTCAACGGTTCGCCAAGGTTTGTAAAGATTAATGCATGAAAAGTTGGCTCGCGGGTTAGCTCGGTTGACAATGGGCCGTCTGCAAGAAGTTTTCTCGAATATAAATGGAATTTCAAAACTTGGA